TGTTCATGGCGAGGGGGCAGGTGACATCCTGGGATTGTGTCCGTCAAGTCTGGCTGGTGGCAGGGGACAGGCTATAATACTAGTCAGTAAGATGGATAGTGAGACACAACAGAGGGCAGGGGAGGAGGCCCCACGCCCAGGGCTGTCTGTGGTAGAAATCACTAACACCTGGCTTCAGGCAAACATCTGGGCTGCATCCACAGAGAGGCAAGCTGCTGGAGGATGCCCGGAAGTGGTCAAGCAGGGGTTATGATCAGTGGAGGGGCCATCTTGAGCCCAATCTGAGCTCCACCTGTTGGCAAAAGAGGCAGGTGAGGTTGATGTGGAGGAGCGACAGGAGGGGCCAGCATGGGGACTTGGCTTTCCTTTTTGCTGTTGCTATTAGCAATTAGAAGTCTCTTCTCTTCCCCTGTGGGACAGGACCAGGCAAGGGGGCTTGCCATACAAGCATGAAGACCTACGTTCAGATCTCCAGCGCCTGTGTGAAAATCTGGGCGGCGCACATGCCTGTAATCCCAGCCCTGGAAGGCACAGGCAGGTGGATTCACAGCACTCACTGGCTGGCAGCTTAATTGAAAGGGCAAGGTTCAGGAGAAGACCCCGTCCCAACAACCAAGGGGGAGGGTAAAAGAGGAAGTCACCCAAGGTCAACTTCTGACCTCTACAGCAGCACCCCTGTGAGAACACAGGGACAAATACACACTTGCATACATGTGCACACACATGCATACACCGTACACAAAAACATTTTTAAAAGAAATCCTTCTCTAGTTGTTCTAACCTAAAAAGAGCAGCGGTGAGTGATAAAAGCCTGGCTGTAGTGTCACCTTGGGGAACTTGTCATCAGCCTCCAAAGAACTCCAGCCACGGCCCCTGTCTAGCCATAAGGCAGGGTGCTGGGCGGTGGAGGCGACCCAGCTGGATGGTATTACCGCGGTTACTGTAATAGAGAACAGGATTCGCTGACAAATTTGATGCTTTCTCCTATGGCTGCTGTGAACTTGACAAAGTGTGGGGCAAACCGCAAGCCGTCAGCATCCCGGCAAAACAAAAACAGGCTGGCAACAGAAGAGGCCACGCTGCGCAGGGGCAGCGTCAGCGCTGTGGTTCTGGGCAGAGTTTGCTGGGTTAGGAGAAACTGCATACAGGGAAGGGAAGGGCTGGCAGGGTAGGCTCAGGTCAAGCCCAGTGCGGGTGGGTGCATCTGTGGCTGCTGGAGAAGGCTTGGTTCCCCAGCTTTCCCCAGTCATGACTGACAGACATAGAGCCTTAGCCAGGGCCAGACATGGCCATGATTGGCGATGAGAACTCTGGGGTCCTTGAAGTGGCATTTATTGGTGCTGGTGCCCCAAAGAGAGCTGGGTTCCTGGGCAGGGAAATTGTAGGGCCAGCACAGATGTTCACATCTGTTAAGAAAGCCATTACTAACCCTCCTGGCTTAATTACGGTCAGAGCTCCATGAGCGTGCCCAGCATGATGGCGTTGTTCAGGAGTGTGCTCTGCAGTTGTGAAGGTGAGCTGGTTAGACCACAGGAAACTGCTGTGTCATGCCCAGCTAGAAACAGGCAGTCCATGCCCAGGAAGACAGACAGCAGCAGGGGCAGTCAGAGGCAGAGAGGACGGACGGCAAGCGATCTTTTACAGTTGCCTGGCTCTGTGGGAGATCTTCCACTTAGGATCCAGCTGTCCCATCAACATGGCAGGTGTATCCCCTGTGCTCGACTTTCTGCATGGGAGAATACTGGGCTGGCATGGGTCCCCAATGCACCCCCACCTTGGCACATGATCTGGTGTTGGTAACCCTCAGTACACAGTGTCCTACCGTCTCAGCGTCCCGAGCTGAGTCCCAGTGAACTGGGACTCAGCTCCTGTAAGCGCGCTCATTTCAGCAAGCCCCTCCAGGCAAGGCTGTGGCCCACCCACCTGGGGCTGGGGTGGGACATCAAGTTCTCTTCTCTCAGGGTCCCCAGTTTAGGGCCATGAACCACATAAAACTGATTGCTCTGGGCCTGGAGCACCATATCAGGGAGACCCTCCAGCGCCCCCTTGTGTGTGGGAGGAGCAATGGCAAAATCAACATGGCCTCGGTCCACCGATGTCACCAATAGGCCTCAGTGCTGGCCTAAGGAGGACTTGGCCATGGCAAGAATTAAACCTTTCCCTTTCTTTCCTGTTTCCCTTTTCTTTTTCTATGTATGCCTAGTGATCTACCCCTAGCTGTTTTGCTAGTCCGGCCCTTCCTACCGATTTACTCCCATATCTCTCCCGGTGGCTTTTTGAGGTTGGGTCTGGTAATGGCTATTCTGCTTGGTTTGAAGTCTCCCTGGGGACCCATGCCACTGACAATCAACTCAGAAAGCTCTATGAATTCCCCTCAGGTCTGTGGCCCAATCTCTAGGACCACGTTTTGATAATACTATTGCCACCATGGCTATCCAAAGAGTTGACTCACTGTGGCCTTCAGATCTGGAGTCCTGGGGAAGCCACACGGACGTCCAGGGCACCTGAAACCAGGGGCGAGATCCACCAGCAGCTCCTGGACCTTCTGCTTCTGTCTGCACCTTCCAGTTTGAGAGACACTTTCTCAGACTCTTCCTTCCTGCTCCTCAGCTGGTGGCCCAGGGCTGTCAAATTCATCCCACTAAAGCCTGACACCCCACAGGCAGCTAACGTGATGTGTGCCGAGAGGAAATGAGTCTGCCATGTGGACTGATAGGCATCTCAGTGTCTGCTCCGGGGACTCGGATCACTCAGCGCTGAAAAGCTGACTGTGGTGGGTGCCAGGGAGGAGGGATAGTCCCTTCCCGGGGGCTTCTGAGATGAGGGTGTTACGTGGTGGGTGAGGAGGGAGCCTCCAGGAAGAACCTGTCAGTCTTCGGTGTCTCAGAGAAAAAGCTGGTGTCCTTACGTGAGTCTTTTACAGAGAATCTGAGTCATGTGAGAGCTGGCTCCCGGGGGATCTTGGGGGCTACCTTCCCAGCCGGGCTTTTCCCATGACTGACTGTGAGCCTGGCCTCAGACTGTGAGCGGGCATACTAAAGAGTCGCATGTCAAACAGGCCCGAGAGCCTCCTGAGACCTAACCCGGGGCTCATGGGCACTTCTCTCCAGTGGGGAGGGCACCCCCAAATTGTGTTGGGTGATAGGTACAAGGCAGCCATCTCTACCCTGCTGGGAAACAGAAATTCCTGACCTGTTTTGTTTTCCCCTGCTGTTTGTTTGTTTGTTTGTTTTTTCTTCTAAATTCTGTCTATGAGGTTTATTATAGTTTATGATTAGAATAACAACATATGAACTAGTTTTGGAAACAGGATCTTACTATGTAGCCCATGATGGCTTGGAATTCACCATGTAGTCCAGGCTAGCCTTGAACATCTAACAAATCTTCTGCTTCGATCTCCCAAGCTGGGATGACAGGCATAGCCCACATAGGGCTTGTTAACTTTTTTCTCCCCCTGAGGATTTCTGTGTTCATCATCTCACTGCATGCCCATGGCACCTGCATGGGGTGCTTTGGATTAGTGGGACATTACAGAAGCGGGCACAGGCTCAGAGAAACGCAGTAAGCCGCCTGGGACCTCACAGCTGCTTAGGAGAGAGTAGGAGCTTGGCCTTGGCAGTTTTCATCCAAATGGAGCTTTCCAGCAAACCCTGATCAGTCTGGGAATGAGCAGCTTCTGTCTCACACTGACAGAGGCAAGAACGGTTCATCGGTTTAGGTAACAACTTATTTATCCACTATGAGTGAGGGCCGGGACACCGAAGACTGACAGGTTCTCCCTGGGGGCTCTCTCTGCACCCCCTTGTAACACCCTCATCTTAGAAGGCCCCGGGAAGGGATGTCGAGGCAGCCCAGGCTGGCCTTCAACTCATGCCTCCTGAGTACTGGGAGTACCATGTCCAGCCAGATGGCAAGTTTTCAAGCCAATATGCTTTACCGTCATCTGTAAAGATCCCTTCCTATGTATGGCACAAGCCAGTGGGAGTGCATGTCCTCAACGCGGAACCCTGAGGATGAACTGTCAGTTTGCTCCTCCCCATTGTCACACCCCCAGCTGTCAGATAAGCCTTCATCTCCAAACATCACACGCTGCGTGGCTGCTGGACCAGAGAACTCTTACAGGGTGCTTGTGGTCAGTCAGGATCTGAGCTCCTCTCGGCAGGGCCTTCCCTGCCTGGCTAAGCTTGGGCTTGTCATCCCAGAGAACACTGACACTCTTCAAGGATGGAGAGTAGTGAAGACTTTGACTTCCCTGTAAGGTGCTGGTCCACATTTACTCTATTAGAACATGGAATGAAGTTATAAAAGTACTTCATCCACTATTTATGTTAAAATCATATGCTCATTTTATAATAACAAGAAAACATACATACACACTATATATATACACACCATATATGCATATATATACATACTATATATATGCTATATATACATACACACTATATATACACACTATATATATGCATATATATACATACACACACACACACACACACACACACATATATATATATATATATATATATATATATATATATATATATATATATACTTTTGAAGTGAGGGGCTGGAATCTAGGCCCTTGTCCATGTGCAGCAAACACTCTACCACTGAACTAGATCCTTGTCCTAGGAAAAATAGAATTTTATTTAAAAAAAAATAACTATCATAGAAAACAAAAGCATGGGCTGGAGAGATGGCTCAGAGGCTAAGAGCACTGGCTGCTCTTCCAGAGGTCCTGAATTCAATTCCCAGCAACCACATGATGGCTCACAACCCTCTGTAATGAGATCTGGTGCCCTCTTCTGGTGTGTAGGCATACATGCAGACAGAACACTGTATAGGTGATAAAACAAATTTTTTTTTTTTCTGGGGCCCACCATATACTTTATTAGAAAAGTCACAGTCTATGTACAGAACAGGAGTGTTCAGCCAGAGAGCTGAGTGCCTGTCGTCATCATGGAGTACTGAGAAGGCCCTGAGGGTGTAGGCACCAGCCTCACAGCCAGTACTCAGCAATGCTCCTTTTAGCCTTTTAGCCGCTACTCAATTCCTTCTTGCTTGTCCTTGATGGCCACCCGGAATCGTTCCTCCAGAAGGGAGAGCTCACTGATGAGGTCTGTGATGGCGTTGGTGAAGGCCTCCTGGGGACTGTAGTCTGGGGTGGTCTGCACACGAATGATGATCTTGTGCTCCAAGGGGTGAGGGACTTTGTAGCCGGCAAACAGCACCTGTGGGTCCTTCAGCAACTGTGATTTGATGATGTTCCCCAGAGTGTGGTCTTCTTTGTTGATGGCGAACAAGCAAGCATTGGACACCTTAGTGTCCTTGTTAATGGTGATTTTCTTCTCGCCCTCGAAGAGCAAGAACGACTCGAAGGCCGGAGGAGCGTTCATCCTAGCGACACGCTCTGTCTCCGAGACTCCAACCCGCAGCTGCTGTCACCACACCGAGCCCCCGAAGCAAAACAAATCTTTTTTAAAAAGAAAGAAAGAAAAGAAAAGCACAAAACAAGGAGTTAGCCTTGTCTTCTGCCTCTGGCTTTTTAGCACTGGACATGTAGAATGTGTTCTTGCCTTTGAAGCATCTGTCACACATGACATCATTGGGTTTCCCAGTCCCTCTGTCGTGAGGCATGCCACCATCAGTATGGAGAAGAGGAAACTGAGGCCCAGAGGTTGGAAGCTGCTAGCCTGGGGCACAAGTACTCTGGTTGATCACAAGCTGACCTGTGTACAAATGTGGGCTTCCTCCATGGGAGGGCACAGGAGGTGGCCAGGAAAGAGTTCTCTGTTTATAACCCAGAATAATGGAACTTAGTGTCACCCAGAAAGGGGCTTCCACCAGCTGCCCACCATCGGCTATGTGCAGTCCAGATGTTACTTCATCCTGGTGGCGATTGGCCTGCCCTCCATCCCTCCCTCCCTCCCTCTCTCCTTCCCTCCCTCTCTCCATCCCTCCCTCTCTCCCTCCCTCTCTTTCTCCCTCCCTCCCTCTCTCCTCCCTCTCTCCCTCCCTCCCTCTCTCCCTCCCTCTCTCTCTCCCTCCCTCCCTCTCTCCCTTCCTCCCTCCCTCCCTTCCTCCCTCTCTCCCTT